GGAGGCCACAGGTCCTAGCATGTGGCCACCAGAGCCTCCCTCTGCCCTGTCTTCCCCTGCCATCAGGACCCACTCTTGACTTCTCCTGTCCTACATTAGGAAGCCTGGAGGAGCGAGGCATCCTGGTATGGAATCAAGTCCAGGAGAATTCCAAGGAGACTACTCTGAAGTCCTCAGAGGTTTATGACTTTCCCTGGGGCATTGGCACCAAGTTCTGCACGTCCTCCTACATCCGGGTCCTCCCCTTCTGGCCCAGGCTGGACCACAGTGACAAAGGTGAGATGGGCATGAGCCAGCTTGCCCACTGCTCCCACGCTTCCTCCAGAAAGCACCTGACAGGTGCCATAGAAACCAGGATGTGAGGAGAACGGTCCTCCTGCATGGCCGAGCCCTGGACAGACTTCTGCCTTTGCGATATGCACCAATCTGCCTTCATGAGCTGGAGGTGTCCACCCTCTCCAACACCTGCGGCACCTGTACACCATGGCAGTCAGGAAGCTTCAGGTTATAATAGTGACCTATGCGCTCTGTCCAGGTCACTTGGTCATTGTATTTGACCTTGACTTGTCCTTCTGCTATTCTCCCAGCTCTGGTGTGGACAGGTGTGGCTGCTGTCCACACAGAACTCTGCTCCACCATTGTGCTTTGCAATATTTTCAAAGATTGGGAGGAAGAGGCCTGGGTAGGGTAGGGACAGTGGTGGCTGTTTGCTGGAAGGTGACACTGAAAGCATACTTTATTCCCCTTCACCAATATAGACCCAATACTCATAAGTCTCTCTTTGATCCTATCTGCTTTGCATTTTAAGGATGAGCTGCCACTAAGGGCTATCTTTGAAGATTCAATGCACACTAAAGTTTGGTAGGAAGTCACCAAACCCAGCACTCCCTAGTCCCAAGTTACGGGAGAAGATCACACCTAGAAGGGTGCTGGCTGGAAATACCGCCACAACACAACAAAAATCAGGCACACGTCACTTATTTTTTTATTTTTTTGGTACTTGAACCCAGGACTTCAGACTTGCTAAGGAAGCACTCAACAACTAAGTTACATCCAGCCCTCTTAACATTTTTTTTTTAAATTTTGAGACATGATCTCACTAAATTGCCAAGGCTGGGTTTGAACCTGTGATCCTCCTACCTCAGCCTCCTGAATAGCTGGCGTTGAGCGTGCACCACCACACCGTCTCACAACTCACTAATGAACACAGAAACATTGATCATTTATGTCTTCCTCAGATCCACTGGCCACAACTCTCACTGACTTGGGTGAACGAGATAAGATGTATATAACCCACATGTCAGAGGAGGCTACTTCCTGAAATACTGGACAACTGAGACACCCACCTGTCTGGGACCCATTGACCTTCCCTGGAAATATCATAAAAGTTTCTTCTGCCAGGTGCAGTGCCACACACCTGTATCCCAGCAACTCAGGAGGCCGAGGCAGGATGATTGCAAGTTTGGGACCAACCTGGGCAGCTTAGCAAGACCCTGTCTCAAAATAAAAGATAGAAAGGGCTGGGGGTGTAGCACCCCTGAGTTCAATCCCTAGTAGCAAAAACAACAACAATAACAACCCCAAACTCCCTTAGGTCAAGGGATAAGATTGAAGGTCAGAGCCGACCATCTTCCAACAGTGCCTGGTTGTTGTTAATAAAGCTGTTTCTCCATCACTCTTCCTCTGGATTATCCACTCTACTAGGTGGCAGGGAGTTACTCCTTGTGTGGTGACAAAGCGAACAAGTTTTTTCTTCTCCAAAGAGACCAGAGCCTGAAGCCTCTCCATCAGTTTCCCACTGGACCTCCCTTTAAGGCTGGTGTCCGGGAACCATCGAGAGCACACTGTTCCTCCTACACCTCCTCCCAGTACTGTCCTTGTCCCATACAGCCCTGCAGCCTGGTCTTATTTAAGTTGAGTTAAAGCAGGACAATACCCAGCAGGCCTGTCACACATTATGTTCCCTGTTCTGCTCACAGTCTCCCCTTGGTCTCCTCACTGCTCTTCAGCCTCCCTCCAGGAGTGAACATAGGCCTGGACACCTGAGAGCCGTGGAGTAGTGGACATCAGGCCCCTTCCAGGACACCTGAGAGCCATGGAGTAGTGGACATCAGGCCCCTTCCAGTAGGGCAGAGGTTACCAAGTCAGGAGGCCAGGTCCAGGAGTGGCAGACAGGAATGAAACCTCTGCCAGGCTAGCGTGGGCTACAGGCTGCTAAGAAGTTGAGCTCAATTCTGCTGCCTGAGGGATTTCCAGAAAATTCCACAGTTTCCCTGGAGGACTCGGGCTTTTGCCCTCAGGTTTTGATAAGCACTGGGTCCTGCTAACAAGAAAAAGATCCAGGTCCTCTCCCAACCCCTCATTCCCCATCAAGAACGCTAACTTCCTTTGGCCAAACCCACTCCTCCAGAAGAAAGAAGGGCAGAAGTTTGGCTCTGGGGGTGGGGAAGGGAAATGTGATGCTATTTCAGAGAACACTGCATTTCTATGTGGACCTCCTCAGCCTCCTCCCCTCCCACCATTGACTCATCTCTCCTTGGCATTGGATGGGGGAGTTGGCCTCTGTAATGCATTTTCTGAGGTTTAGTAATTTCTATTCTCCCATCAAAGTCCCTCAGGGAGGCGAGCAGTCTCCACCCCTCTTAGTGTTGATAGCTCAGTTGTCACTTAAAATATAATGGATAAGGGGCACAAGGAAGATTGCCACTTAAAATGAGGGGTTGAGAAGGTGACATGTGGGTTAAGTGTGATACACTGAGTCTCATGGACCCGAGTAATGATCATGCTCCTAAGAACCCTCCTGCATGGCACCAGTGTCTCAATTGCTCGGCTGCCCCTGGAATGCTACAGGAGTGGTGCTAGCCTGCTGGGCTTGAGGGTTGAGCGCTAAGTACATAAGGAAAGAGGAACGTAACAGACAGCACCCCAGAAGATGATCCAGCTGAGCATACCTTTGAAATCATCTGGCACACAGAGTCACTGTGGCCTGGCAGGAACATGGGTTGGCAGAGCCATCCAGAGGTGGTCACGGCCTCTGAATTCCCTGATGACATGCATGCGATCTCTGTGGATTTAGTCAGGGACCCTTGCCTGCAAATGATAAAAGATAAACTCAAAAAAGAGGGGATGAGATTTATTGATTCTTGTCACTGGGAAGGAAGGAACCTGGGAGAGGTCACAGAACCAGAGCAGGATCCTAAGAAGAATCAGGGCCTGAACACTGACACCTAAGTCTTCTCTCTCTCTCTCTCTCTCTCTCTCTCTCTCTCTCTCTCTCTCTCTCTCTCTCTCTCTCTCTCTCTCTCTCCATTCCTGCTCCACACACACCCTCTGTCCATCTCCCCTGCTCCTTCTGTCTGCCTGTTGGCCTCATTCTCAATTACCCCAGCTGAGGGTGATGGTCACAAGACCCCAGGTGTGGAACTTCTCCTGTGACTGCAAAGACAGAAGAAAAATCTGCCTTATGTTGGGCATGATGGCACTTGTGTATAATCCTGGCTACTCAAAAAGCTGAGGCAGGAGGATCCACAAGTTCAAGGCCAGCCTCAGCAACTTAGCAAGGCCCTAAGCAACTTAGTGAGACCCTGTCATAAAATATAAAAAGGGCTGGGGATATGGCTCAGTGGGTAAGTGCCCCTGGGTTCAATCCCAAGTACCACAAACAAATACCCCCCTCCTCCCCCCGCAACAACAACAACAACAACCAAAAAACAAACAAACAAACAAAAACCCTTGCCTTCTCCTTTTGCTTGAAACACAACAGGGGTGGTGGGGGGAGGGCTCTGCAAAGAAGTCAGGTAGGTATAGAGTTTGAAGACTCCACCTTTCCTGTTCCTATATTAGTTAATTAATGGTATAAAATAACACACTTTATACTCTTCAAATTCTGGAAGCTGGGAGTCTTATGTGGCTAAAATCAAGATATTGTAAGGCCTGCTTCCTTCTGGTAGTTCTAGGGTGAAACATTTCCTGCCTTTTCCATCTTCTAGAAGGGGCCTATATTTCTTGGCTCATGGCCCCTTCCCTTATCTTCAGGGTGTAATGGTCTGATCTCAGCCTCCTTTGCCCTACCTCCTCTGACTTCTTTGCCTTTTATTTTATACTTGTGTTTACACTTAGGGCCCATCCAGTTTACCTAGGATAATCTCTCCATCTTAAGATCACAAATTCGTCACTTGTGAAAAAAATGTCTTTACTCTAAAGGTAACATTCACTGATTTTGGTGATCAGGACATGGACATCTTCGGGAGACCTTATTCAGCCTACTATAATCCTAATTAAAATCCTGTATTAGCTGCAGCCTTATTTCCAGAAGCCAAGCCAGGGAACCTGCATAAAATTCATTTTTTCTTTTATGGATCATTGCTTATTTCTTATGCAGACTGGTGGCCAAATCTGGCGAGCTGGAATCCAGACAGGGTTTCTGGCTTGGCTGCCAGGAAGTCTGTTCAGGCTGCTATAACAAAATACACTAACTGAGTGGCTTGTTAAACATCAGAAATATATTTCTCACTTTGCTGGAGACTTGTAAATCCAAGATCAAGGTTCCAACAAACTGGGGTGGGTGAGGGCAGACTTCCTACGTTGGTGACATATCCTCACCAATGTCATGTTGCAAAAGGTGAGATATCTCTCTAGAGCCTCTTTTATGAGGACACTAGTCTCATTCATGAGATTTTGCTCATGACCTGATCACCTTGAAAGGGCCCCACCTCCTAATCCCATCACCTTGGGGTTAGAAATTTTAACACAAATTTTGGACACAAACATTCAGACCATAGCATTTACTTTATAGTAATGATGACTGTTTCTTTAAGACCATGAGTCTGATCTGTATTTTTGGAGATTGACAGGCACACATGTCCAAATCTTTACAGATCCGCTGGATTGACTACCAATTTTCTTGGGGTGAAGCTGTCAGTGCCCTCCCATAGTAGGTCTCCTGGTGATATAGTCACCTCCACACTTTTAAACACACCCACAGTCTACATTTTTCTTGCTTTCATGAGGATGACCTCCTTGCATACACCTTTAGTTGATGCAAAGTTGTGTATTTTTTCTCACCACTTCCTGGTAAAGTTTCGGAACCAATTCTGCTCTTTTGAAAAAGTTTTTCATTCCCAATACAAATATTTTGTGCTTATTTTGCAATATATCTGATCTGTTTGTTCTTAGAAGATATTCTGCCGTCAGCCTACAAAAAAACTGATCAGATTATGGGATCAGTGGTCAGCCACTCCTCAAAATATTTTTCTCCTTGATGTCCAGTTAGAGAATACATTTGCACGAAATGTAGCCTTTGGAAAGTTGTTCTGGAAGCTGATCAATGACATAAGTGAACACTTTGACTCTCACATCATCAGATTTTTCTACCACGTCCTTCTTTGCTGTTGTCCTCTGCTGGGTTAAATAACCGAGAGATGACAAGCAACTTGAAGGTTGAATCGGGAACTACTTTATTGCGAGTGAACTCAGCAGGAACTGACAACTCAAAGTAGCAGGCACCCAAGGTAGCAGGAGCCGCTTCTCTGCTGGACTGCAGAGGTACATATACCTAACTAATTCCACACAGCTTAACTTAATTGACATCATCTAGACACAGCAGTCAGTCATTCAGGAATCCTCATCATCTTAATGGCTCATTGTCGTTGGCTCAGAAACCACTCCTCCTAGCATACTGCCAGGCGCCATCTTAACTTGGTTGTGGCCCTCATCAGTCCTCCACACACTGACCCCCCTTCCCCGGGAATGTTAGTGCATCTGCTTCTGTTCTTCTCCAATCATCTTATCTGAACAGTTGGTGACTTGATGCCGACGGAGCCTCCCCTGGCCTCTCCTTCCTTCAAGGTTCACAATAATCTGGCCCTTCACTCACCTCCACTGTCCTCCCGGTGGTCATGTCTCACTTGGTGGATTTGGGATTTCCCACAGCTGTGCCCCCCACCATCCTCAGTTTCCAACAATTCCAACAATACTGTTTGTAGCTCACTCCTCTGAACATGCTGTCTTCCCACCTCCAACTTGCCCTCTCTTCCCTCCTTGTCCAGGCTCAATTCCACGGTCAATATTAAGAAAGCACCTTCCTGTGCTCCTAATGCTCTTGGTCACTGCTCTCTCCATCAAACCCTCTTGGTAAAACCTTAATACTTGTCAGAAACCTTTTTTCACCCTCCCTGTTCCTGCATGCAGTGGAGCTGGAGAAAACACACAACCCTGTTGGCCTTAGGCTCCTGACCGTGAACTTCACACAGGCCTTCCATGCTTCCTGCTTTCCCAAGTCTGTGGCTCTCTCTGTCTTTTAAAACTCTGCCTCTATCCTCATCCTGACTCTCAGCTTCCTATTTCACTGATAAATCCATAGGAAAGCCTCACAGAGAGTCCA